TTTTATTTAACTATTTCCTGTCCTGTCTGTCTCTCATCTTCCTGCATCTCCTCTAAACTCTCCAGAAAAACTGCTGCCTGGATTCTTACTTTTTCACCTCATCAGTTACTTTTGAGCAGATCAAAGGGATCTCCTGACAGTAGCGGAGTGCGCGTTTCGATGCTGCGTCAGTGAGGTGGAGTCACTGCAGCAGGTGATGAGCTCCGCAGTGGCAGCGGGCTTCAGGCGCAAATAAGACAGAAAATAGAGAACATGTGCGGACATGAACGATCGTGTGCTAATTATAGATTTTTGGTTGCGCCACTTTGAGAATGGACCCTGCGCTGGATGCAGCAGCCTGGATCGCTGCGCAACAACGATCAGCGCTCTGCAGCTTTCTGTGCCCTCTGCTCAAAAGAGTCCATAAATGATGTAATATAGGTAGAAAACTTTTTTCCGGCTCCCCTGGATGTGTAGGATATCCAGCTCCCCATAATTCGATCCCTGCTCCTGGATGAAAAACCGGACATTTTCATCAGGAACCCCCAGTCCGGACGCCCCGGACAGAGAGTGAAAAGTGGACATGTCCGGGGAAAACAGGATGTACGGTCGCCCTGGTTTAATATAAAGCGGGCGATTACAGATATAGTATTTTGCTCGTGCCCTTGCTGCCCTGGGCCCTTTAGAGTTTGTGGGCCCTGGGCAATTGCCCAGTTGCCCATATGGTTAATCCGGCCTTGCAGCTTACCCTATGGCTCTAACGCTCAATAATTAGTCAATATTTTAAGCATTTAATACACTTGGAACAGAAGAGTTACAAAACAATTCACCCCCCTCAGATTTGTCATAAGTATAAACTAGATCTATTAGATCTAGAATATTTTTTTGAACCAAGCTGTAAACATGTTTATTTCTGCTGTGAAACTGGTATTTTTAGCATGGGAGTCAATGAGGCCGTGCTCTGTTTTGGTGCCAGACTCTAGTGGATGAGGGTGGAACTGCAATTTTCGTCACTTCCGTGTTGGTGCACACACACACACACACACACAGTGTTGCCACAGTTACTTTGACAAAGTAATATATTACAGACTACTGATTACTCCTTTCAAAAGTAACGTAGTTACTTTACTGATTACTTTATTTTTTAAGTAACTAAGTTAGATTACTAGTTATTTTATTGGTTACTTTCAGAAGCTGCCAATAACACTCCCCACTGCCTCAACATAAAAACTTCAACCGGTTTTGCCAATACTCACTTTATTGGAAGTGTATTTTAACAGCAACGTCAACAATATATCTCCCGACATTTGAAGTTGAACTTAAAACTTTTTTCCGGACAGAAATACTTGTTTGTATGAAAATAAAGAAAGTCTTTGACTTTATTTAACATAAATACTTTAAAAAAAGGAGTCTTTCTTGACTTCATTTCACATGAAAGCTTTTTATAAAAAACAAACAAAGAGTCTTTCTTGACTTCCCTTAAGATACCTTTTATACCATCCACATGTAAGCACTATTGTCCGCTTTTGTAACTTTGGAGTAATCTTATGAAAAAAAGAGAACGCAGGTCCAACTTTAATTGCCTTACTTCCTTGCAAGTAATTGATTTAAGTTAATCAACTTGAAAACTTTAATACATTTATTAAGTGACTTTGATAAATTTAATTCAGTTACTTGTAAATAGTTATTTAAATTGGATTCCCTATTCTCTTTTTTTCAGTATATGTTGTCATCACATGTTATGGGGGTTACCAGTGGTTGTACCTCATTAACAGAAGCTTCTCAAACCTTTTGTCAGAAAGTCGATTTCTTTTCGGCGTGAGCACCAAACCCCCCAGACTAAAAAGCCGCTCCACAGGAGCACTTGATGGGGTTGGAGCGTTATACTTTAAAAAGATTGTCTTTATGCTTGGAAACTTATGCAGAATCTGAAGGTTGTAGCCTGACATCAGGTAGTCCATGACTTCTTTTTCTGCAGAATAGGTCTCCTCCTCTGGCTCTGCCTCAAAGTGAAAAAGTCCATCTCACCTTGGCTGCTAGATGTAGTAGCACTGTGTACACTGGCAGGGTTGTTTGCCAGAGGAGCAGTAGTGCAACACTCTGCTGTCAGAAGCTGTTTTACTTGCTCCCTCCTTCCTGCATCTCTCAGCCATCGGAGTTTGAGTTTTGGACAACTGGCAGCTGCGAGGAGGGCATCTTTGTCGTCCAGCACACCGGCGAAACGAATCTGAATAGCCTAAAAACATAATCGATATTTTATGCCTAAAATGTATTATGTTATTGAATTATTTGCAAACAATGCCTAATATGAGATCAGTATTATGGATTTATTTTGTTTTAGGTGACTTGTAAACATTTGAATTGTTTTAATCTTATTTTTCAATGATAATTACTATTCTGTTCCATGTTTGTGAATTGTATGAAGCAATACATTTGACTAATTTCAAGATGGAGCATACCTGTACAATGGCATCTGGAAGGCCTGCAGTCATCCTGGAGAGGTCATCCTTCACAGCCTGGGTCTTCTGCATCAGAACTTCAAGTGTTGGTAGTAAAGTTCCATATGGACAGTCGCCTTGTAAAATGTCCAATGCTGCAGTCAGAGGTTTCATGGCCATGCAGTACTCACGCAGGAACTGGTATTCTTGATCTTTGAAGCACTTCAGTCCTAGCTTTGTGCACAGAGTATTCAGCTCACCCATGGGGATTTCTGCAATTCTCTTTACAGCATCAAAAAAGGAATTCCACCTTGTGGATGTTGGTATTAGGAGCTTTCTTTTGCTGATTTCTTCCACGGTTTCTGATGCAAGTGTAGATCTACTCGATTTGGTCCAAAGAGCTGTGCATTTTGCTGTGCTGCTCCTATACACAGCCCTGCTCTCTGCATTGGTTGTTAAATGTTTCTCCACATCACGTGTGCAAATTATGTTGCGAAGCACACCTGCGGTGCGGGGGAAGAGACAGCTGACCATCACTTTCATTCTCAGCTGAGAGGATTTCTGACAGATCTGAAAAAGTGACATCATCGTCTTTCGGGGTGGACTCTTCCTCCTCCGTCTCATCATCGGACTCCGTGACATGATGATAAACTTGAAACGCCTTAACAAAGTTGGATCCATTATCAGTAACTGTTGCAACTACTTTGTTGAGTAATCCATAAGAGGAGTGAATGTTTTCGATTTCTGTACCAATGACATCATACGTGTGTCTACCACGAATTCGCCTACATGCTAATGCAACCTTGTGGCGCTCTAATGTGGTTCTACTGATCCAGTGGAGCGTTACTCCCATGTAGCTTCTGTTGTTAGCAGTCCAAATATCCACGATAGTTGAAACAAAGTCAATCTCATTAAGTGCGGCCTTCAAATTTCTCTCCATTTCTGTAAACTCCTTCTCCAAGTAAGAAGTAAAAGTCGTTCGGTGAGGCAGCTCGGCATTAACAGAAGTAGGGATCTTTTTTATTATGGCACGAAACGAGGGCGAGTCAACAGCGTTTATAGGTAGCATTTCTTCTACAATATACTGCGCGACCAACTTCTTCAATTCTTCATCACTTACTGGTTTTGCACCAAAGTCCAACTTTTGTTGTTTGGGGGATGTAGGACCTGCGGAAGTCACGGCTCTCTGCTTCGGACCCCTTGGTGGGACTCTCTCTGTGAGTTTGACTGTGCCGTGCTGCGACTCCAAATGTTTCTTTAAGTTTGACGTCGTGTTTTTGAAGGTAGATAACACTTTTTCGCCAACACAGAGTGTACAACGAACCTTAATATTGAAATCTTTAGCTGACAGAAACTCAAAATAGTGACCATATTTCCATCTAAAGAACGCACATCTCTCTCCCTCCATTGTTGTTTACAATTTTTTACGTCGCTAGCTGCTTGTGAGCGGAAAACGTGACCTGCCGCTTATGTGACGTTTCACGAGTCACGAGGTCACGACACGTATCTTTTTGATTAAAAAAATAATAACGCACAGTGGTTTGGAAAAGTAACTTTAATCTGACTACTGTTATGGAAATAGTAATGCGTTAGATTAGTCGTTACTAAAAAAGTGGTCATATTCAGAGTAACGCGTTACTAAGCAACGCGTTACCGGCATCACTGCACACACACACACACACACACACACACACACACACACACACGGTGCTGCCAGACACAGCAAAGCAGGATGCCACATCAGTCTCCAAAAGCTGCCCAGGCTGCCTTTGTTAAATATGGAGACTCTGTGGACCTCACAGAGCCCTTTTGCCCTGCCCTTATGCTCGGAAATGCACTCATGACATCTATTTTTTGTGCCAATTTTGGAGACCACCCATGTGCTGAATCACATCCATATTCCTAAGGCACTGTGGAGGTTGGGGCGGAGCGGAGTGGAGCCGATGCTAGTGCGCAAGTGGCAGAGTCACACTCTCACTTAATGCTGATGGACTCGCCCACCAATACTCGAGAGTGAAAAGGCTGCTGTTGAGTTGGCACCCAGGAGAGAACAGAACACCTCTCAGCTAGTAAAAATGGCAAAAAAAAAGGCCTGTATTTGATCTAGCGCCTTGTAGAGTCCTGGAACCCTCCAAGGTGCTTTACAACACAGTCATTCACCCATTCACACACATTCACACGCTGGTGGGGATGAGCTACGACGTAGCCACAGCTGCCCTGGGGCGCACTGACAGAGGCAAGGCTGCCGAGCACTGGCGCCACCGGTCCCTCTGACCACCACCAGCAGGCAACGTGGGTTAAGTGTCTTGCCCAAGGACACAACGACAGCGACAGACTGAGCGGGGCTCGAACCTGCAACCTTCCGATTACGGGGCGAGCTCTTTATTTCTGGAGATGAAACATCAACGTTGCCGAGCACATTGGATTAGATTATACCAACTACATGTAATTCTGGGTTTTGTTCTGGTCAAATGTGTTTACAAAGTGTACAAAACAACTTAATTCAGTGAATCAGCCAAAAACTCCAAATAGTACAACCCAGTTTGCTTAACATAGATTCTGTGTGTATTTGTGTCTCAACAGGAGGAACTGATCATGGAAATAGTGAATAATCCTGATTGTGAAGCCAAACAGTTTAGTCACAGTTACCTGCAGAGCACTTTGGTCCTCATCCTGATAACGCTCATGGTAGGACACACACACCCACACCAACACACACGCACACGCACACACACACACACACACACGCACGCACACACATACACACACACACACACAAACACACACTCATGCACACACACGCACGCACCCTAGCACACACACACACACACACACACACACACACACACACACACACACACACACACACACACACACACACACACACACACACACACACACACGCACACACACACACACACACACGCGCACACACACACACACACACACACTCACGCACACACACGCACGCACCCTTGCACAAACACACACACACACACTTGTATTTATATGCTTGTGTGGACCACCATTGACTTGCATTAATTGTGGTAACTGTATTATGCCTAACCCTAACCGTAACCAATGCTGATCTAATCCCAACCCTAACCTTAACTAAAACCAAATTCATGCCATACCTCTGAAACCAACTGGTAGACATTTAAAAAACATGTGGTCCACTAAAATGTCCTCACTGTGGTCTCAGTAGGTAATAAGTACAAGAAAACACACACACACACACACACACACACACACACACACACACAGTAAGCATTACAGTAAGTATACAAAGAATATGTATAAAACTACAGCCTAGAGGATATTTTATGCACCGTTGGCAGCAAAACAAAAACTAATATTTTCAATTCACATAGTCAGATATGTAAAGGGAAATAGTTTATTGATGTGACTGTATAATTACGCTGGTCACGCGTGTCAAACACAGTAATGTTTGATTTAAATGACATGTGTGATGTTTTTTTCCTGGGTGTGTATTTTTGCTAAACGGTTTCCAGCGTTAACTTTATGGTCATGTGACCATGTCAAGTTGAGGTGAGGGTGGCGGCAGACCATGTGTGGTGGAGCTGACCAGGAGGCAGGAATGCAGGCACGGATAACATAAAAATGGATTTAATAGCAGATGATACAGCGGGAACAACGAGAACAACACAACAAACAACAATGATCCGACACTGACAGATACAAGACGGGAGGTATAAATACACAGGGGAAAATCAGGAACACATGGGCAGGTTAACAAGGGGCAGGTGAGACCAATAAAACTAATCAGGGGGCAGGGGAGAGTCACAGTCAGAGGGAGGCAGGAGCAGATCGTGACAGTACCCCCCCCCCCCCCCCCCCCCCCCCCCCAAGGGGCGAACACCAGACGCCCACAAAACCCTCATAACCCATGACACTCGGGAACACCCAAGACTCGGGAACACACTGGAGACTAGGGAGCACACTGGAGACTAGGGAAAAACACTGGAGACTTCGGAACTTGGACACTGGAACTTGGGAACTTGGACCCTGGAACTCGGGAACTTGGACACTGGCACTTGGACTCTGGAACTCGGGAACTTGGACTCTGGAACTTGGGAACTTGGACTCGGGGACTTGGACTCTCTGACTCGTGGACTTGGACTCTGGGACTCGGGATCTTGGGACACTGGAACTCGGGAACTTGGGACACTGGAACTTGACAGCAGCAGGCGCGGGACACTGGAACTCAGACTTGGACTCTGGAACTCGGACTCTGGAACTTGGACTCGAACTCTGGATCTTGGACTCTGTAGAGGCTGCAGCGGGGGACTCTGTAGAGGCTGCTGCGACAGCGTGAAGGACCTGCAGGGGCAGACCCTGCAGATGAAGACCCTGCAGGTAAAGACCCTGCAGGCGTAGATCCTGCAGGCGTAGGCCCCACAGGCGTGGACCAGGAAGTAGATGTACTGAAGGCAGCGACGCGAGGAAACCAGGAACGGCAGCAGGTACTCGACAACGGTCAGAGCAGGTGCACATCACGATCAGCTGGGTCACAGGTGGAGGCTTGGGTGAAGGGAAGCAGAAAAGGAGCGGGGAGACTGGCCCTACCACTCCGGAGAATGTTGGCGTGCGTAGGGGGTGTCACTCCACCAAAACTCCAGGATCTGTAGCTTCCGTGGACAAACAGGACAGGGCAAAAGGCAGGAGAGGAGAATGATTTCGATCACCCCGGGAACAAGTATGATGCGCCGAAACCCCCTCAATGGTTCGACCACCCCGGAAACAGGTAGGATGCGCCAAAATCCTTGAGTCAGAATCTCCTTCCTCCGGACGGAGACAAAGCAAAAAAAAAAAAAAAAATCCTCCAAGCAGATGTTTAGAGCTCACCACAGGTCCAGGTTGGTCGGATCATTCTGTCACGTTGAGGTGAGGGTAGCGGCAGACCATGTGTGGTGGAGCTGACTAGGAGGCAGGAATGCAGGCACGGATAACATAAAAATGGATTTAATAGCAGATGATACAGCGGGAACAACGAGAACAACACAACAAACAACAATGATCCGACACTGACAGATACAAGACGGGAGGTATAAATACACAGGGGAAAATCAGGAACACATGGGCAGGTTAACAAGGGGCAGGTGAGACCAATAAAACTAATCAGGGGGCAGGGGAGAGTCACAGTCAGAGGGAGGCAGGAGCAGATCGTGACAGTACCCCCCCCCCCCCCCCCCCAAGGGGCGAACACCAGACGCCCACAAAACCCTCATAACCCATGACACTCGGGAACACCCAAGACTCGGGAACACACTGGAGACTAGGGAGCACACTGGAGACTAGGGAAAAACACTGGAGACTTCGGAACTTGGACACTGGAACTTGGGAACTTGGACCCTGGAACTCGGGAACTTGGACACTGGCACTTGGACTCTGGAACTCGGGAACTTGGACTCTGGAACTTGGGAACTTGGACTCGGGGACTTGGACTCTCTGACTCGTGGACTTGGACTCTGGGACTCGGGATCTTGGGACACTGGAACTCGGGAACTTGGGACACTGGAACTTGACAGCAGCAGGCGCGGGACACTGGAACTCAGACTTGGACTCTGGAACTCGGACTCTGGAACTTGGACTCGAACTCTGGATCTTGGACTCTGTAGAGGCTGCAACGTGGGACTCTGTAGAGGCTGCACCGGGGGACTCTGTAGAGGCTGCTGCAACAGCGTGAAGGACCTGCAGGGGCAGACCCTGCAGATGAAGACCCTGCAGGTAAAGACCCTGCAGGCGTAGATCCTGCAGGCGTAGGCCCCACAGGCGTGGACCAGGAAGTAGATGTACTGAAGGCAGCGACGCGAGGAAACCAGGAAGGGCAGCAGGTACTCGACAACGGTCAGAGCAGGTGCACATCACGATCAGCTGGGTCACAGGTGGAGGCTTGGGTGAAGGGAAGCAGAAAAGGAGCGGGGAGACTGGCCCTACCACTCCGGAGAATGTTGGCGTGCGTAGGGGGTGTCACTCCACCAAAACTCCAGGATCTGTAGCTTCCGTGGACAAACAGGACGGGGCAAAAGGCAGGAGAGGAGAATGATTTCGATCACCCCGGGAACAAGTATGATGCGCCGAAACCCCCTCAATGGTTCGACCACCCCGGAAACAGGTAGGATGCGCCAAAATCCTTGAGTCAGAATCTCCTTCCTCCGGACGGAGACAAAGCAAAAAAAAAAAAAAAAAAATCCTCCAAGCAGATGTTTAGAGCTCACCACAGGTCCAGGTTGGTCGGATCATTCTGTCACGTTGAGGTGAGGGTAGCGGCAGACCATGTGTGGTGGAGCTGACTAGGAGGCAGGAATGCAGGCACGGATAACATAAAAATGGATTTAATAGCAGATGATACAGCGGGAACGACGAGAACAACACAACAAGCAACAATGTTCTGACACTGACAGATACAAGACGGGAGGTATAAATACACAGGGGAAAATCAGGAACACATGGGCAGGTTAACAAGGGGCAGGCGAGACCAATAAAACTAATCAGGAGGCAGGGGAGAGTCACAGTCAGAGGGAGGCAGGAGGAGATCGTGACAGACCACCACGAACGTATAGTCTTAAAACTCACAGCTGCTCAGCAAACACAAAGTCCTCCAGTCTCTAAACATCCAGACTCTGGAGCAGAACATGAAAACGACATATAAATGATGAAAGTTGAATCAAATAAGTGGAGAGACAAGAGCTGAAGCAGACTTCTGACGTTGCCATGGAAACGTGTAAACTGTGTGTTCCAACAGAACAGCGCTGGCTACACAGCTTTAATCAAACAGTTCATGGTCTCTATCTTAGTTCTGATATCTTTGTAATCCTCGTGGACATGAATGAATAACTATTGCTCCGCCTGGATTTTTTTCCTTCCTGGCACTCGCGGAGTACAGACACTTCTCTTTTCGCTCCCTTATCTTTTTTCCCAAGGCTCTTTGTCCTGTCTGCCCACAGAGCGCTTCTCTGCATTTCTTCTGAAAACCCCTATTTTTAACCATGGATTTGATAAATTGGTCATTCATCATGATTGATAAGATTTTTTCAACAATGAGAATGGAGCAGGGGGCTCCTACATGCCCACAGGGGACACACCCGGCGGGGTCTATGCTGGATTCCTGGAGGGAATGTAAGTAAGTAAGTAAAAGTTTATTGCCTTTCACAGATATAAATCACAAAGCGCTGTACAACATGATGAAGATCAGGGCAAATACCTCTAACCAATAAAAACATCCAATGGAATGGAAGATCACATGCCTCTCCCAGCTGTCCATTGAGGATGTCGAAGACGTGTGGATATTCGGCCTGATGATCACTGGATTTCTCCTGATTGGAGTGGGAGGATATCTGGTTTTCTGGAAATTTGGGAAGACGGGAGCGATTGGAGGGTGACCCGCACCCACGGAAATCACCGTCCGTGTGGAGACTTCTCAGACTGGGACGTTACTTGAGGTGAATCGTAAGCTGGACAATGTTCTAGCTGCGATACCGGTATTAGTGCGCAAAATGGATGTAATCTTGGAGAGAGTCACCGGACGGTATGGACAGGTTTAAAAACCCACAATTGGCTTCACTGAAGGACTGGAATGATCAGTTTAAAGACTGAAGGCAGAGAGGAAAATTATCTCAGCCTGACCCAAACAAAGTCTTGTTATCCGAATCTGACGCCATGGCGGCCTTGAGCGGCTACAAACACCCACGAAGGAATGCAGACAGATGCTGTGAAAACCCGACCTAACCACCACCCCCCCCACCACCCCGGAGCCTGGCGAGGTCATCAACCTGCAGGAGTCAATGTGCTCTGCGCTTCTCCCAAGATCTCCCTCCCACCTGTGACTGTACAGTGGCTGAGCGCCGTAGATGGCTGCTCTCGCTGGGGAAAACAGGATCCCCCAACCCCCCCCCCCCCCCCCCACCCCCCACCTTCCTATTGGAGTCTCATGTTATGTTGTGTTGTCTGAAGTCTGCTGCATATCTGTCTGAGGTGTTTTTTTGCAGAGCAAAGCTGCCCTCCCGGTGGGAGGGTAGCTGTGAAGTGCCTTTTTTCCCCTCCTCGCAAATCAATTCCTCATGTTAACCTCTTATCTCTATTAAGGTAGCGCGACTTGGGTTGCGAATGACCACAGTCATCAATTCTTGTCATGTGTCTTGCCCATGTATGTCTAATCTCTGAATTGTGTGTACTGAAACTCTAATTTCCCTCTGGGATTAATAAAGTATTGATTGATTGATTGATTGATTGATTGATTGATTGATTGATTGATTGATTAAGAAGGAGGCTCTGTCCTTTACTCCCATTCTCATTTATCTAGCATCGATTATCAGGGTCTGCCTGTGGACGCACGTGAGCCTCGATTGCTGATAGAGGATTGAATCCACCTGAGAATTGTTTGTGGAGCAGGCAAAATCAGGAGGGGAGCGCTTTGTCAGCCCTGGCAGCTGGCAAACTAAGAAAGTAAGCATGTCCTGTTTGCAAAGTGGAGTGACAGCAGGAATGGCCAATCACATGTTAGCAAGTATCAGCAGAGCCAATAGATGAGCTTATTGACAGTTCTAGTGGGAAACAGACTTCAACACAAGCGGTTCTTGTCCGCTTGGTCCAAGAGCTCAACCCGTTTCTGTTTAAAATAGCGTAAAATTGATTTTTTGATGGTAAAAGGTGCAGCGGACAAAAATTGACTTATGGGGGGTCGACATGTCCCCCCGTCCACCCCACCCCAAAACTACGTCCATGGCCGTAAGACAAAATGCTCTCAGATAGAAATTACTTAGAGAGAAGCATTCTGCAGGTGGTCAGTAGATTCTTTCAAATCTGAATTGTGGCTTTTGCTACAAACACATCCCAAAAGCAGGGGTGGACTGAGACGACAATTCGGCCTTGGCATTCTTATGACCCATTGACCCTCAGAGCAGGGTGGTGGTGGGCTATTGCGGAGCTGTCTCTGAGGCCCAAGCTGGGCAAGCGGCCCACTGTGACAGTGGCTGAATGCCAGATGGGCCGGTCCACCCCTGCCCAAAGGTCAGTGGAAAGGTATTGCACACTTAAGAATGGCCATTCTGTTCACAAAGCTAATTGTATAACCCCCCTGTGATTTATGTATTTAAGCTTGATTTATACTTCTCTGTCTACGTCGTTCCGGAGACACGCGACGCCATTATACGTCTGCGCAAGGTCTCTCCGACAGGTTCAAAGAATCCGACGGAGACATGCCCAAAATATTAAACATCTGTCAAAAGTGACGGAGTGATTGGTCAGGACACCACTTCCTGTATATTCATCACCAGCACCATTGGAGCTTCATTAAAAAATAAAAAGATGTTAAGCAGCAGACACAGGACAGATTGAAGAATACATCGCGGAAAAAGTCCAAATATTTTAAGATGTATTCACCCGTAACTGAAGGAGTACAAAATACGGAGCAAACTTGGACGGAATCGACAGTAAAAATGGGTTTAGAGGTGAAGACCGCACGAAAAGGTGGAGGAGAATAAAGGAAAAATTTGTCCGTAATAGAAAGTATATATACATATATATATATATATATATATATATATATATATATATATATATATATATATATATGTATTAAAATCCTCATTGAATGTTCCTGTCTGCCTGTTTCTTCACCTGCATTCGTCCACTCACCGGCACGCCGTGACACATTCAGTGTGTTGTCTTTATCTTCATGACCATATACATTGGGAGATTCCCACTGAAGGCATCAAACTATGAATGAACACATGTGAAGTTAACAACCAAAAAAGGGTAAATACCTAAAAACATGTTTTATGTTCTATTTTCTTCCGAATAGCTGCCCTTTGCTCTGATTACTGCTTTGCACACTCTTGGCATTCTCTTGATGAGCTTCTAGAGGTAGTCACCTGAGATGGTTTTCAACAGTCTTGAAGGAGGTCCCAGAAGAGTTTCGTGCTTGATGGCCCTTTTGTAAATGGTCATGGTCATGAAAAAAAAAATATATATATATATATATATATATATATATATATATATATATATATATATAATATACATATATATATATATGTATATTATATACATATATATATATATATATATGTATATTATATATATATATATATATATATATATATATATATATATATATATATATATATATATATATATATATATATATATATATATATATGTATATAATATACGCAATCAGGTTTTGAATTACTGGGGAGCTCTGGGGACCCCTGGGCTTCTTTTGAGCGGAGAGGACAGCGAGTGCTGATTGTTGATTTGCTCTAGGCAACTGCATCCTGCTGACCAGGATGTCCAGTAAAAGTCAGTCGTGCCACCAAGAGTACATTTGGTTCTCATATCATCAAATATCAATGTTGAAGGGGCTTTATGTTATACTGAATGAGGGAACTCTGCACTACTAACCAACAAGAAAGGGGTCCCAATGCACAATGCACAATGTGACACTGAGGGAGTCCGACCAACCGTCAGTATATGACGAGTAGGGAGTGAGAACGAACGTCTCCAGCCAGTGTGTGTCCTGCTTGTACTGCATCTAGCTGTGCTACACCTCTGAATGTCTCACCCTGCTCACCCCATCTGTGTGTGGAAGGCCTGGCCAGCTTTGGGTACTTTAAAGCCCAGGTGATCGATACGACAACTTTAATATAACATGAACAGTGCAGAGTACAGGGAGAAGTTATTAAACTGACTGTGGTGTGGTTAGAAGTCTGAATCTTATGTTCTGGGGCTTTTGCATGTTTTTGGATAACGTATTTAGGCAACAATTTAGCTGCAACCTGAAAACAGCACCACTTTCTATCTAAGAGCGGGTGGTCTGTCTGGTTTAGTCAGAAGTCTGATGGGCTTCTGAATGAAACCTGATGCTTTATTCTCTACGATCTGATCTCTGACAATGTTTTCCTGAGACCTGAGGATGATCTAAAATGTACACCATACAGACGGCTGAAGTGTTGTGTATGTCTGATTCTTGTGTTGCAGCTGATAGTGATCATCGGGTTCACTCATGCTCTGGTGGTGTTTCGGGTGGTGGCCGCACCACTGATGTCTCAGAGCGATTGGAAGTTATTAAAGGAACATGCCAACATTGCAGCTGTGTTGCTTGGAGCGGTGCTGCACTACATCACTATCCAGATCATGAATCGGGTTTGTAAACTTGTGTTCACATTACAAAACGAACAACAACCACTCTTCTTCAGCTCCATTCAGAGGATCTTTTGCTGCACCAGATAAAAAGGCCAACGACCTTCTCATCAACATTTTTTTAAGTTGTTGACATTTAGATTTATTCAAACTGAATCAAATAAAATCGGATAATCAGTTAGCTCGCTATGTTCAGGACATACAAGTACATTTAAATATTGTTTCTCTCTCATCTTTGTAGTACAGATGAGAAAATGTAAGTTTTTATTTATATACACACACACACACACACACACACACACATACATATATATATATATATATATATATATATATATATGTATACATATATATATATATATATATATACATATATATATATACCCTGTTGCTGGCTGCTTGGTATGAACTGCACATAACATAAGGCTGGGCAATATGGCCTCAAACCTATATCTCAGTATATTGAGCAGTTCACAAAAACGATAAGTGGACGATGAATGCATGTAACCTCACAACAAAACATAGTCCACTAGATGGCGATGTGACAGCAGAATTGCTCCACAGTCGGCTATGATTCCCAAGACCTACTTACAGCAATTATTGTTAATCGCTACTTTAAAAAACCTTTAAAACTGAGTACTAAATTATTTTAGGTAAGATTGAAAAACCAAGCAAAACTCAACTAGTAAAAGACAAATTATTTAAGGAAAAGCCTCTTATCTTCTACAGAAGGACATTACTGAGCTGCTTCGTGTGAATATCGCCACATTTGAGTTGTCAGGTTATCAGTAAAGGATGACGTGTGACCTTGACTTGTTGCTACAGTCTTTCTGCATAGTTAGACCTACTGACAGTGTCCTTGCTGAATCCACAAAGTTATCAAATCATTGATGAAATCTTCCATCGCCAACACTTGATGCTCACTGCCCACGGCCACTAGCTGCTGCCCTCCGGCCGCGTCCAGCAGCAGGCAGCGACAGGCTACACACGTCTCCTCGTTTTGCCGTTATGGGCAAAATGACATCAGCAGTAGTCATGAAATTCCGTATCTGTTCATTTTCGGTTTATCGCCCACCTCTAGTTACACGCGAGTTGTCATCATGCTGAAAACACGACTTGTCACACACGTGAGACACCACTCACCAAGGAACAAGAAGTTTATGTTTCACTAAGGAAAGAGAAGAAAATGGTAATGCACGGTGACTTTTGTCTGATTACTGGTTTGGAAAGAGTAACGTGGTTGGGTCCCTGTTTCAGAAAAGACGGGTAGCAGCATGTTACTAGCATATTGCTAACAAGTACTTGACTCTTTGCAGGTTAACAGATGGGTGTCCCACAAGCTGTGTGATATAGGTGAGAGCACGTTTGTGTCAGAAACCTTTCTGTTACAGAAGGTTCAACCACTGGTCTTCATGACGTTTGTCTTGTTGTGTTCTTCAGAGAAGCTGAACTCAAGTGCAGCCAAAGAGAGAAGCTTCACAGTCAAGATGTTCACCTTCCAGTTCTTCACGCTCTTCTCCTCTCTCTTCTATGTGGCCTTTTTCCTTGGCAGGTAAACAGCTCTTCTAATTTCAATACACTTTAACTACGACTCTGTAATTTGGGTTATTACTTGTAAATCTCTTAATTTTTCTAATCTCAACTGATTGAGACACAGAAGTTGAGGCGTACACTGAGGGTTATGTCACAAAGTGAAATGTCACTGATGGTGCTAACCAGAAGCCAAGGCTCACAGCCTTCAGGGCCATGGCACAGCAGGACTAGCCACAGTCAGGGTCAACCTGTCCTGAGTCATTAGTAAAGTGAATGTAATGCAGGAAATTATTTCATGATAAATGACCCGCACTTGTATACAGTAATCCCTCGTTTATCGCGGTAGATGCGTTCCAGACCTGGCCGCGATAGGTGAAAATCCGCGAAGTAGGGACTCCCAGCATGCCCCTCGCGGGGATTCCCTCCACGTCGCACCTACGTCACAAACCGCGGCTATAAACGGAAGTCGCCTTTCCAGCTCACCACTCAGTCATCGTTTCTTCAGATTCACGATCAGAGTTTCCAACCTACCGATCAATCCAACGAACTATCAGCTCATAGTAAGTTATCTTACTTACTTCTGGAAAGCCCGGCATTTCCGTGTCACTTCGTTGACGCTCGAACGCTCGGGGGTTTCCTAGATCAGCCGGCGTTTCACCGACGCTATCACTTCCGCGTCTGTGAAACCACGCTCCCTATTGAATTATCGTATGATCACATTCTCTTTTTGTGGGTAAAACTCAAGAAAAAAATTTTTTTACTTGTTTTTTTTAATTTTATTACAAAAAGTGCATTTTATGATGAAATTGATGAAAAAAACAAGAATTTCTTGATATTTCGCATAGAAAAATACCGCGAATCAGTGAAAAATACCGCGAATCTGCGAATTCCCCCTGAAAAATGCTCCAAAGAAAAAATCCGCGATGAACGAACCGCGAAGTAGCGAGGGATTACTGTAGCGCCTCTCAGAGTAAGGACTCCAAAGCGCTTTACACTACAGTGTATCATTCACCCATTCACACACAATCAGATAAAAAATCAGAGATCTGATCTAAAAAGTCAGCGTAAGGGCCTGGTGGACGATACAAAACTACAAACAAGAGTGGTTTTACAGTTTTGCAGTCTGGATTAGGAAAACTAAGATGTTCAAAAGAACTGCTACTCCTCCTTAGGGTTGGCCATCGTTTGATTTTGAACTATTCCGATTCCGATTCCAATATCCTCGTTTCGATTCTGGTTCCGGTTCCTATCGATTCCCGATTCCGATTCTTTCAAGACATGACATGTGTTACATGAGCCAGCTAACCACAGGTCCTACTTGATGAAATAATCTTAACTTCAACATGATTTTTAACTCTATGAACAACAACATCACCTTCATTTAGACAAAAACATGTTTTGGAGAAAAAAAGAAAAATACTTGCAGCACGACCAGTGTGTTTGTTTCTGACCACAACCAAAGTCTGGAAGAAGCCTCTGGGATGAGAGGCTAAATGTCTCCAACATATCCAGAAACGTCCAGCTGTTTTCAGCTGAAACTCTCAGGATGATCATGTCCAGGATGACTGAGAACCACACCTCCATGCTGCAGCAGCATTCAGTCACAACAGGAAGTGAAACTTAAACGTAGCTGCTGTCAGTAACAATAACAGATTTTAAACATTAAAACTCAACAGAAATAGTTCAGAAAGGAAATTAAAATGCGATTTATTATTATTATTATTTATTGTGGCAGAAGCTGGTGTGGTCCACCACAGAGAAGCTTCAGCATGATGACTTTAATCATTCTACAGGTTATTGCTCAGCCTTCTCACACACACACACACACACACACACACACACACACACACACACACACACACACACACACACACACACACACACACACACACGAGTGTTGGTGAGCAGCTACGACTGACTGCTGACGCTCCGCGTGTGTTTGTATTTCTGCAGTGAGACAAACTCACCTCACACCATCCAGAGTTTGTTCTTTAAAGCTTCTATTAAATCCACCGTGTTGACGTATTTAACAAGTTTCCTCTACGCTGCAGGAGTTAAAGTTTACATTACGGAGTAAAAGTTCGGCAGACACATTTTTTATATCCGGGTGGGGGAGAGGGGACTCGTGCTGCAGACACACAGCTAGTGTGATCAGCTCTGAAAAGCGTTGATCACAATTTGCAGATCACGTTTATTTTTCACGGAGATCGGCCGCGGATTCCTCTTCCGTCGGCATTCTAGGAATGGAAATAAAAAACGTTGAGCGATTCCGGGAAAAATGAACAGTTGGAACTGGTTCCAATCGATGCTCGATGCCCAACCCAACTCCTCACCCTGTACTTTGAGCAATATGATTTAAATAATTAGAAGGAGTCGACTCGTTTAAACTAACAGTAACCAGTAAACCTGCGGTCTGAGAGCGAAGTGTACGGTTAGGATGTCATGGTCTGAGGTAATGATTTAACCCAAGACATGCAGAATCAACACACTGGAGCAGGATGTGAAAAAATAAAGATTTATTTGGTAACTAGAACTTAGGGTGCACTGGAAATCCAGTGAATGGGTAAACGGGAGCAGCGTCTGAGGGAAGGGAAACAGAGGTGAGTCCTTGATTGAAACTGTAGTGTGGTAGAGGATGAGTTTGGTAGGAGGACTTACAGCTGTAGCGTGGTGGAGGATCTCCAGGGGGGGGGTGAGCTGGGAGAGTGAATGAGTATTCCGGGGTGATGAAGATCGGCAAGGTTTTACAACCGGAGGGAAGGAGAGAGAGAGCCTGTAGTGCTGGGAGCAGTTAGTGCCGTGAGGAGGACGGGAACCGGGAGTGAAGTCCAGACGTAGTATGGTCGAGTAGTAAATCCAAAAGGTCTCAGCGAGGAGGTGGTGTATGGAAAGATGACTGAGCCTGAGACAAAACGAGAACAAAATCTGAGCAAAAGATCGCTAGCAAAAAACACGTTTCTAAAGTTCAAGGCTAAGGTTTCAAAGTTCAAAGTCTAAGTTCCGACAGTTCAAAGTCAAGGTTTCAAAATCGAGTTAACACTGTGGCTGGGACTCTACCAGTAGGCGTAATCATCCGGCGGCTTAGCAGTGTCCTCCGTCCTCCTTATGAAGGCCACCCACTGATCAGCTGATTGATTGCAGCTGCTTCTCTCTCTCCTGAAAACAGAACTCACAAGCCAGGTGATGTCATGGTGTGTGTGGAGTGCTCACCTCCCAGCTCACAACAGTACCCCCCCCTCAACGGACGCCTCCAGGCGTCCTAGCCGCAGCAGCCTCATAATCCCGAATGAGGGAAGGATCCAGGATGGCAGAGCGTGGCACCCAGGAGCGTTCCTCGGGACCGTAGCCCTCCCAGTCCACAAGGTACTGCATACCCCGACCGCGGGGACGGGAGTCCAGGATCCTGCGAACAGTGTAGATCAAGTCCCCCTGGTGCAGGCGAGCCGGAGGAGGAGGTGCAGGCACGGGACAGAGAGGACTGGTGACCACAGGCTTGACCAGGGAGACGTGGAACACCGGGTGCACACGTAGGGTCCGAGGGAGATCCAGGCGGACCGTAGTGGGGGACGGAACAGCCAAAACTTTAAAGGGACCAATGAACCGGGGAGATAACTTACGGGAAGAGGCCTTCAGTGGAATGTTCCTGGACGATAACCACACAGACTGCCCTGGGACGTAGACTGGGGCCGGACGCCGTCGGCGATCAGCTACCTGCTTGTTCCTCTGTGCAGTACGATCCAGCGCCGCCCTGGTGGTGGTCCAGGCACGACGGGCACAACGGAGGAATTGGGGAACGGAGGAGCCAGGCATAGATTGTGCGGGGAAAAGCGAGGGTTGAAAACCGAGGGAAGCCTCAAACGGGGACTGACCTGTAGCCGTAGAGATGTGGCTGTTATGGGCATACTCCACCCAGGGAAGATGGGTGCTCCAGGACGACGGGTGAATGGAGCAGACACAGCGCAGCATGGCCCCCAGCTCCTGGTTCATCCGTTCGCATTGGCCGTTGGTTTGGGGGTGGTGTCCAGAGGTAAGCGCCACTTTAGCCCCCAAGGCCTCTGCGAACTCCTTCCATACTTGGGACACGAACTGCGGACCCCGATCCGACAGGATCTCCTCCGGGATGCCATGGAGACGGAACACATGCTTAACCAGGAGCTGCGCTGTGCCTGCGGATGAAGGGAGAGATTTAAGGGGCACCAGGTGGCAAGCCTTTGAAAACCGGTCGACTATGGTAAGAATGGAGGTGAAACCGTGGGAGATGGGGAGACCACAGATGAAGTCCAGGGCGATGTGCGACCAAGGCCGTGAGGGAGTAGGCAGAGGCTGGAGTAGACCGGCTGGGAGGCGATGGTCCCCCTTGTGTTGGGAACAGGTGTGACAACCAGAAACATAGTCCTTGGTATCTTTAAAAATGGACGGCCACCAAAATGTACGTTTAATAAGGGCCACAGTGCGTGCCACCCCCGGATGTAAGGAGAACCGACCAGCATGAGCCCAGTGAATGACCTTGCCTCTAACAGATTGGGGAACAAACAGTTTACCCGGGGGGCCGTTGTCTGGACCAGGGTCAGTCTTAAGGGCCTCCAGTACCTGCTCCCGGATCTCCCAGGTGACGCTCCCTACCACACAGTTGGAGGGAAGGATGGTCGATGGTGGGTTATCCCGGTCTGGAGCATATTGTCTAGAGAGTGCGTCGGGTTTGGTATTCTTTGTACCGGGTCTGTAAGAGATCAAGAAATTAAACCGAGAAAAGAAAAGAGACCATCTGTACTGGCGTGGGTTTAAACGTTTGGCTTCCTTGAGGTAGATGAGGTTCTTATGGTCAGTCCAGATGATGAATGGTTGTTCAGCCCCCTCCAACCAATGTCTCCATTCCTCAATGGCCAGTTTCACAGCCAACAGCTCTCTGTCCCCTACGTCGTAACGGCTCTCGGTAGGTGTGAGGCGTCGTGAGAAGAACGCACAGGGATGCAGGCGTTTGTCCTCTTCAGCCACCTGGGAGAGCACAGCCCCCACACC